AACAAAATTTTCTTTCAACAATTAAAAAAAAAAAAAAAAAAAAAAAAAATCATGACTAGTGCAATGTTGAGTCCATATTTAAAATACACAACAGGTGAGTGAGCCAAACATGACAAGGGCTAAGGCTTAAAGTGTTCTAACATTCATTTGCTAAAGGATTTTTAAATGGATGTCACCTTCTAACATAAGAACAACTTTCTTAGAAGGTACCTCAATAAAACATCCATCCTGTTTGTGTTAAAATTTAGTGACACAAAGAAGTATCAGTAAGCTCTGGATGTCATCACTTCAATGCCTCCACATGGTAAATCACGCTGTTAGCAACCTGCCGGTTAAGTGAAGACCATGACTGGAACAAGTGGTCAGATGTGTCTGCCACTCAGCACTGGCTGCAGGTGCAGGAGGAGTCATTTCCAGAACCAGGAATTCCAGTGCTATAGACCCACAGCAAAGCAATAAAAGAAGGTGTCTTCACTTGCTTCCAACATCCACCATCTGTGTCAAAGTTGGCTGTACCAAGTTCACAGCTAACACAACACCAACCACAGCCTTTGTCTTCACCAACTCTACTAAATATCACCCCCCCACACACACACACACCCTCCAGCGGCCTGGAGCACACACAAATACACCCGTAGTCACTCTGTTTACCTTGGAGAAAAGGATGGGCACCTGATATACTTATTAATTATTAAACAAGTCTCTTAGAACTGTAGGAAACAGGTGAAAAAACAAGATGCTGTGAACTTTAAACCTGGCCCTGGGCCGTGAGCAGGAGCAGGCACTGAGGTCCTGGGCGTCTTGCCAGGGAGGGCTGAACACATCCTGCAGATGCTTTGATACTCTCCTGTGGTTGCTTGCTTGGTTCTTTATATAAGGACAAGACCTTCCTGCTGAAGCCAGCCTCACCAGCCTCACCACTATGCCGGAAAGGAGACGGCCAAACACTGTCCTCGCTGGCTACCTTTGAGATCAGGTATGAACTGCTCCAGACTCTTGAGGGTCTGGGAAAACAAATCTTTATGGCCCTGATACCACAATGGGCTACACAAATGTGGCCTTGGCAACCATTTTGTGAATTCTTAATACTTTGGTCCCAACTAAAATGTTTGCCATGCTGTGTTACTTTAAACACTCAGGGAATAAAGGAAAAGAAAGGTCCTTGATGCTAAACCTAATGACCTGAATTTGATGACTGGGAACAACGTGGTTGAAGGACAGAACTGAATCCTGACCTCTTCATGCATGCTCTGGTACACATCCCCCTCCCCCCATATATATCTATTTTTTTTCTGTGTAATTTTAAAGACTTAAGGCAGTTATATACCATCTTCAAAGTACAAGGACCAACAGTGCAGTCATAGTCTTCTCTTCACTTTGCCCATTTAGAGTATGAAAGTGACTAGAAAAATCCCCTGACACAGACACTGGAAGGAGGCTTGTGCATGCTGGCCAGGTACATTGGGTTCCAGCAGGTGGCTCAGCAGCCAGACTCCTGTACACACGCTGAGCAAGGCAGCTCCAGACATTGGAAGGCACCAGTAACCCACTGGCGCCACCTGCAGCTCAAGCTAAATCCAACAGGGTGGCCACTTAGAGACTGCTGGTCTTGGTCAAATCTCAGGTTTCAATGCTTCAGTTCCACTCTCAAGTTCATGGTGGAGGCCACACAAACTGTGGCCTTTAAGCAACCGGTGTGCAACACAGTCTGGGTATAGGCCTTTAGGTATCTCACTCAGTGCTGGTCTGGGCCACCACTGCTGGCCAACACCCCAACAGAGGCCAAACAAAAGAGAGCCAAGTGCTGCAGATCCTAGGAGGTGACTCAGGCAGGAGCCAGTTACCCAGGGAGGCATGTTCAGACGGCTGTACCTCAGCAAGGTGGGGAGTGGCTCAGGGTAAGAGAATGCTCTCTGGAGGAAGGCAAAGCAACGCTTTCCAACTTGATGCAGGTGGTTCCACAAAGGTAGCTGTCTGTGGAAACCATTTTGTGTGCAAATAAAGAGTTAACATAGAAAACACCAGTGAGTCAGGCATAGTGGTACACCACCTGTAATTCTAGAACTCTGGCTCATGAAGAAAGATGGCAAATTCAAGGCCATGTGGACTACAGCAATTCAAAAATTAAAAACTAATGAGCACAAAAAAGGGGGGTTGGTAGTTTGGAGGCCACTGAACCTTCTGTCTTTGCCAGTGTGTCAAGGAATTCAACATGCCTCCTAATCCCTCATCAGAAACAGAGGTTCCACAGTCAGGGAGTTCCTGCAGTCTTTCTGAAATGGACTTATGCTGCCCTGTTAAAGTCAATCACTTTCTGGAACCTGACTCAACAGTGAAACAGAATAAGACATGTTCCTTGCTATCTAGGTCTGAGGAAAGGAGGCTGAATCTGGGTCAGCGCAGAGGGGTACGAACGCAGGATGTGTGAGGTGCCCCATGCTCAGACTCCGGCACACAGAGTCATAACATTTTTTCACAGACTCAGGGCCCCATCTTTGCTAACTGCTGACTAAGCAGTGACTACCCACACTTGGCTAAGAAACATAGCAAATGATCTGCCTTTTGGAGTATTTTCCAGGCTACTGGGGGGGGGGGGGCTTTTAACTCACTCTTGGCAACTGCTCAGAAATGTGTTTATTCTGCCTGGAGCAAGCACTCTGGTCAAGGAGGGAAGAGCTAACAATCCAGGTCTTTTCCTAACTCACCCTCTGTTGGTAGAAGAGGCAGGGAAACGGGGCATCTAGGTCTAGCTGAAGGTAGATAATTTCCAGTCTGCCTCTGTCCCAAAGGCTTTGCTCTTTCACTTTGAGTCAACTTCCCTGAAGGCTGCCCTCCCTTTCCTTCATTGTTCTACAGTATAATTCCTTTGCATTTTGGAACTTTTTGTTAGAAGTACTCCAACTGTTTGAAACAGGAATGTCTACACTACAAAGGCGCTTATTTTTCAAGGACAACTCAAGCTATAATAACACTCTGTATGTGTATGTGTGTTCTGGGGATACAAACTCATGGCTTCAATGGTAGGCATATGTCCTACCAGTGAGCCATATTTCCAGCTCAACTTAGCATAAACTTCGCATTCTCAATATAAAACTAAGAAGAAGCCTGGGAGAACAATTTAAAAAGTTGCACACAGTCATTCTCTACACCTCTAAGTAGTTTGCTACCAAAATACCTGAGAAAGATGAGAATTTAACCCGTTTAAACAACTCTTCTACTTAGAAGTATGACCTGCTCAAAATGAAGAAATTAAAAACACAAGTTAGGCTCCTAGATAGAGTATCAAATGTGTTCTCTACTTAGAAGATTGCCAGTCAATTTTTTCAAGACAGACAAATAACTTCACAGAGTCAAAATCAAGGCCAAGATCTTGGTTGTTGGGGTGGGGGTCCCCTACCCAAGAAAAAGCAAGGACTAAAAATTTGCATTACATTGTTAAATGAGCTGCATAGGTACAATACCTTGAACAAGATTAGAAATGTATGTACAGATGTTCTAACAAAAATAATCTCAACTCTGTATCAATATACAAAAAATACAAGCCAATATAAAATATTTAAAACTAACAGTTGCTTTTTTTTTGGTTTAAAAGTAGACTCAATAATCTGCCTTTTTATCCCATTTCTATGTCCCTCCTTTTTTGTTTCAGAGTAGATTCAATAATCTACCCTTATATTCTATCATATCTATGTCTCCCCTTTTTCTTTTCAAAACAAGAACTCTGAATCTAATCTCCTTTGTTCAACATTTTTTCCACAAAGGTGACATTATAATTCTTAACATCTATGCCCCAAACACAAGGGCACCCATGTTTGTAAAAGAAATGCTAATAAAGCTTAAATCACATATTGACACTCACACACTGACAGTGGGAGACTTCAATGCCATATTCTC